AAAAAAAAAAAAAAAAAAAAATGCTGAAATAACACTCCCTAGTAGTGATGGGAGAAGTATGGGCTCATTCAATTTTTCTATTTCTCATTTTTCCTCAAGGCTACCTGTGATATTTAATAATTTGTGCGTGCTTAAGGTAATTTTATCTGGGACAGTGGTGATAGCATAATTTTATTTTCAGTAAATGACTGCTAGTCTTCTGCCTAACAGAACGGGGCTTCAGCTTTGAGGAGCTTACCTTCAATAAGGATCATAACAACATTTTCTTTTTGCCATAGGGCAGGAAATAACAGAAATATTTATCCCATTGATACGACGAAATAAATGTATTCGACTCAATGCCTTTTGATCTATGAGTAATACTAAAACTTACTAACTCTAAGATGTAATTGATCATCTGCCACACAGTGCGGGGAACAAGACAGGCACGGTCTGCTGGTAAAATAACGCCCACGCCCAACAATCTTACGACTAAACAAATGCATGTTCAATCCAGTTTGCCTTCTACAAAGCCCGCTACAAAGAAACAAAGTGGAAATAGTCTCAAGGTAGGAAACAACAGAAGATAAAGTTGACCTCAGTAATTTATTTTATTCTGATCTTTTTTCGTGGAGGGTCACCAATTAGTGTATTTTAACGCCAAAACGATTGACACTTAAAAGAGCCACTCAGTTTCTAAGAACGGAAAAAAATCCTACAGTGGAAACTCGTTCAGGGAGCGTGTGGACCCCATAACTAGTGGATGGTCAGAGGTCGCGTTCCCCGACCGCTGATCAAAGGGAACTCGGGCTCCGGGAACAAGATTTGTCTGACCGGCGACTATTGACCATTCATACCTACTTCTTTATGCCCAGTTGTTTATCTTTAGTAACGTGAACGACGCAAACTGCTAGGGGGATTGGAATGCAGCGAAAGCAAAAAGATAATTTGGTCTTGTATTTCCAATCATTTTGCACGACTTTCTTATTGAAAATGGAATCCGACAAAGTTATGTGATCGAAACACTGTATTTCATTTTCAGGATGATAGCCTACATTCAGCAGAAAACAAAGGCATGGATTCAGAGGAGAGTGGTTCTAATGAGGTTATGGACACTCTATACGACACCCGCTTCTGAAACGATGAAGATGCTTCTTATTAAAAACTGATAAATTTTTTTAGAAATAATTATTCCGTTACTGTAGTGTTTTAACCAAGTGCTGTGCCTCTCAAAAAATGAACTATGCTGTTCACTTTTCATTCTAGCTGTACGTTACGAAGTTAGGACTAAGAGTATTTAGGTGGCTTGCAAAAATTTCGAGCATGTTTCAGCTCGTCTAATTTGATAGATCAATACTGCCACTGTAACAATAACGGCATCAAACAAATGTGCAATCATAAATGAACAAGTTTTCTTGACATTACAAGTTACCATCTCTCTATCCTCTTCTTTTCTAGGTGGAGAATAGGCCATCTACACAAGTTACCGCAGCAATTGTATAAAATGATCAAAATACACTTAATTTTAGCTTTAAGGGCTTATAAGGAAAACCGAGTCCGATTGTCTAAATTGAAAAAAAGCTGGGGGAGCGGATTAAGAACCCCTTTAACTTTTCCAAACTTTAAGGTGGCTCTGAATCTGCTCCCACAATGTTTTTCAACTTGGCAAAAATTTGCATTTCAACAGGTTAATGTTATTTCGATAATTAAAAAATGGGGCCCACCACCACCATTGTGTTTTAATCATAAGCCCTGAAAGCTAAAATTAAGGGTGATTTTGCGGCGTTATACTGTTACTATGGTAACCTCAAACGTCACGATTAAGGTCATACCTTGCTCACCAGTGTAAGGACATTGTTTAGTGCCATTGTTGTAGAATTGCGTAAAAACGAGAGGTAGCTATGATCCATTAAAGAAGTCGCCGAAAAATGTTGGAAACCGTTTCCTGCCACGTCAAGCGGGAGTATTTTATTTCCAAAGTACAATTTAAATCCACCACCAGGCTTATTTTGTGAAAGATGCAATTAGGAGTTATATAACACCAAATCAGTCATAAACCAGTGTCGGCGAGACACTCATCAATTTAATAAACTCATAGCCCAGAATTTCTCTACCAAGATTGCAATCTTGTATTAGACCAATTTGCGCTTGATTTTCGAATCTAATATACGTTTTAGAATACGTTTTGGAAATTAGCGCTACTTACTGAACTAGTCAGATAAAAGCCAATCTTTTTCGGGCGCTTTCTCCTCATTGCCTGTATTTGAGCGCGTCGAATTCTTATTGGTCCATTGTGTTGCCTACGTTGCTGTGATTGGCTCTTGCAGCGGCTTCAGGTTTGTTTTTACGTCACGCATATAGCGGCCAGTGTATTGGAATATTTACCGCTTTCTAGAGGCTAAACATAGTGCCTCTTTGAATTTTTGGTGCTCAAGGAACAAACACGTTATTTCTTTCACTTTGCTAGATTAGCCAACTTGATGGCAAACTGCATACGAATTTGCCACTGATTAAATACATGTTGTACTTTTGACTAGTACTTTGCTATGATACTTTGCATACAAAACTGTCACTTCCTGTAATGACAGAGTATTTCTCCGCTATCAACTTTGCCTGACATTTAATAAAAGTTGTGTCAATTGAGTGACGTGTTTTATCATCGTTATTTCATAAGTAGCTGTGTAAAGCAGTCTCTGCAAAGGATCTAACTCGATCAGGGTTCATTAATACGCCCTGTTACGATGCGTTGGTACATTACATTTTATTGCTTATTACACTGACACTCCTCTCCCCAGCCACCGACTTTCTCAGGTCCATCTTGCAATTTCCCGCTACTTATTTACACTCCTGGCGTAAAGAGACGGGTTTGTCTCCATTTACCAAAAATTTTCGGAAGAGACGGAACTTCTGGAAAAGTAGCCCTGTTTTTCCCGTTGCCGTCCCGAATGAAATTCGAGTTACAGTCTTTTATCGTTTACATCAGTTTCTTTTCACGCCTTTCAGCTTTCCTGTCCATGCTAAATTTCACTCCGTATGTAACCAAAATGGAACATATTCTTCCTAGATGAAAACATTCAACCGAATTTTTTTCAAAACCTTCATTTGTAAATGGTCAACAACTACAGTAGCTTACAGTGAACGTAAGTGACTTGTGCAAGAATAGAAGACGACAAAACTATTCAGGTCTTGCATCAAATTCTGTTGTGATCAAAGGACTTTAAAAGGACTTCGCTCCCAATTAATATATTTGTAAAAACGTCTGTGTGAACAGTGTTTTGCAGACAAAAGTATGAAAAACTTATAACCGCGATTATCAACTTTGCTTGCATTTCATTGCCCAATGATCATGAAAATCCTTAAGTTTTAACAGTTGTGGACGAAATATCAGTCAGGTCCTACAATAGAGTCCGTCAGGGTCAGGATTGTAAGCTCCCAACGACATCCCTATGTCCTAGCATACCCCCTTCTCGGCGGGGAGGATTTCACAGAGTGTGGTTTTAAAAGCTACCGAAGAAAGGAATAAAGCGCTTTACACCCAGTTCACATGTGTTGTTCCTCTATCCGTCTAAAAATTAATCATTCATATACACGCGATAATCTGGAAATTTGAAAGCACGAATTCTCAAGAGTATCATCACGTGGCCTGAAATGGGGTAACAAACCGCCTAAACTAAAAAGGTCTATTATCTGGTGCAACACGCAGTCAGAACGAAGCATCCGGGATGGCAAAACAAACCGCCCAAGCCTTCTGGATAATTCATGCTTCTTATATAATAACGGATCTTCTTTAACCGACAACCGCTGAAAGGTTTTTGCCAAATTCAAAATGGCGGTCTTTGTTTGTAGATTTCCTTCTTGACGAGAGCGAGATCAGCCGTCTTTTGAGTCACACAGTTGAATCATGAAGGTAATTTTCATTTTACTTTATTACTTTGTTTAAATTATCTTCATCTGGGAAATAACTGTACTTCCCGGGAAAAACCAATATAATTTTCTGGTGGTCTCCATGGTAAATAAACACAAACTCTCCGTCGAAGTGTTTTTATACAGTGAACCCGACCGTTTGGCTGTGAATTCCAACTTTTAAACTATTTTTATGAAAGGAGATAACCAAAAGAACATCTAGTTTTTAAAATAAACAGAACCTCGTAGTCTTTAAAATATTTGCAGTGTTTATCAAGGTGGTGTTGGTTTTGAAGCGGTGTTGAATACTTGTTGGCTTCGAATTCAGCTTCCATTATTAGCTGTCATGTTTGTCTGACAAGACTGTAACGTCAGCTAATTAGAAGAACTCAACCCTCTGAAATATATATGTTAATATTTTACCCAGCACGAGATAGCAAACTGTTGTCCTTTTGTAGAAAGACATGAATTGTATGCTGCACAGTAATGCATGGTAAAACATATTTACAGTACATATGGGTTATTGACCAAGTGTGAGGTCAAGATGCTGGATATTGATCAAGTTCTTTTTTTTTGCGAGTTTATGGACTGAGACGGAGTCAAGGTCCATAAACACAAAAAAAGAGCGAGGCCAATATCCAGCCATTATGGCCGAACAAGCTTGGTCAATAAATGATTTATTTTATTGCTTTCAGGGAAATCTTTCTCGTGGGACACGGGGGGTAGTCCCGAGCGGGCAAGATAGCTCCATCTTGCCTGCTCGGGTAGCCAATCACAGTGCAGGATTTGATTCATCTTGCCCACTCGTGGAGCTAGCTATATAATAAGTACATGTAAATAAGCTGACGTACAATTGAAAGAGCTTCAAACTAAGATCAGGCTAGAAATTTTATTAAACATTTGACTTCATTCTTAGTTTAGCTTAGTTTCTCAAATTTAAATCAAATTCACACCAGTCAGCCTGTGGAGGTGCATTGGATATCCATAAACTCATGCCATACCACACAAATCAAAACTTCAATTGYAACTGGGAAGCATGTATATGCAGTATACTACAATTAAACTGTGCACATGAAAATTGAATGAATTAGTTTGGTAATCCCGTTTTCCATACATTCTAGGCAGCTATTGAAACATTACTTCCAATTCAAGTACCGTGAACATGTACATATATTTAGATCCAACATTTTCTAAACCTTGTGTGTCATTATTATTTTAGCGTGTATTCAGTGTTCCTGAAAAGGTGACAGGAGGGGGTACAGTCACCTACAGCTGGCAGCAAAAATTAGGCAACTATTTAGCTGTAACTGGGTAAGCTTATCCTTTAAAATTCGTAGAGAACCTTGGTCGGCTAACACATTATTATTTGTCTTCAGAAAAAATTTGTCAAAACTTGTAATGCTTTTTTTTTAGATAGATCTCAAATTGGTATCGGGGAACACAAGGTCGAGGAAACAGAATATCAAACCCCTCAATTACTTGTACCTTGTGTGCTGCACTATATTAATATAATTAATTAGTTTCCCTGCAGTAGCGAGGCATTTTTTATGTTACAGAGGCAACTGCTGTATCTATACCTACAGTATCTCTTTAGTGACTACATGTACACGTAGGTATTCCATAAGACCTCTACAGAGTGTTTGCATTCTTCCCTATCTTCTGCTGCTAAAGATTACTCCTGCCTACAAAAAACTTCTTCTATTATGGAACTTGTGAAACTACATGTACATTAATAAAATATTTTTAGTGACAATTCACTGTAAAATTCTATTTTGAGGTGTTGACTACTTGTAGCTATCCCAGTAGAATGGTGAGATATTGAACTAAAATATTACTGGGGAAGACATACATGTACTTTTTTGTATAATTGTGTATAATTTTATCCTTCCTGTAGGACAAACAGAGTTGTGGTGATTTATGATCGTCATGGAGATCAGAGAGACGAAATCAACCTTCCAGGGTGAGTTGCTTTATTTTGTCACATACGGTACTGTACATGTGGTTCTCTCACTGAAATAGAGAGCTGTGGTGAAATACTTGAAATTTATTGTGTGCAGAAAGATTTCAAGGTTTTAAGGTCCATGGCATACTGTATACTGTTTTTAAAGTAAATACAAAGGGTCAGCACAATGTTTTAAAAAAATAAGCAGTTTCCATGTTCTGCAGCTTACGTGTACTTTGGTCCACATTTACAACTCTGCTCATGAATAGACCAATTTTGATATATTAAAATTCAGCCTAAAACAATAGACTTCAGTACGAGGCTCTGGGGAATAACTGCAGAGTCTGTGGGGTTTAATTGCCAGAACCTCGTGCTGAGGTCTGCTGTATTAGGCTGAATTTTAATATATCAAAATTGGTCAATTGGCTATTCTTGTATACCTTGTAGGCCAAAATCGTACACAAAACCATAACAGTGTCTAGTGTCTACTAAAGCAACTGGACAACATATGATTTACGTACACTTTATATGTAAAGTATATGTGCTGCCAGTGGTTCAATTTTTACCTCTGTTGTAATTTTTTCTAAGCAGTGTCTCTTTTTTCACTTTTTTGGGTGGAAGGGAGGGGGTGGGTCTTAATAAGAATACCATATGTGTACACTACCCACCCTCCCCTCAGTTCCATGTGAATTTTAAGTTATTTTCAATTAAAAAAAATCTAAAGCAGAGGTAAAGATTGAACCATAACATACATGTCTGTAGATTTACACCCCTGTTCCCTAGATAGGGGACTAAACTGCATCATTAACCCATTGACTTCCTTGCTGCCCGTAACCGCC